TATGTACGAATCTTGTATTTTTTTTTATCTCTGCGAATTTTATGATGGTTCTTCTTAACATGGTTGACACCATAGGTCCAGAATAAAAAGCTTTTCATTATCCTGCAAATAGAATATGCTGAAAGATATAACTGAGTTTGAAAATATTTACATTTTTGTTAACGGCAATAATGTTTTTCGTAAATTCTACAGATAAGCGAAGAAGTAAAAAAGGAGGAACCTGTTGAGAAAATGGAACCAGAAACGAAGAAAGAAGAAATACCTACAAAGGCTTCCATTTCGGAAAAGATTTTGCAAGAAGAAATGAGTGAAAAGCGGGTAATCGTTCAGTGATTTCTTTTCTATCAATATACATTTATGGATGTGTACAGGAATTTTAAAAGATGTATGCAATGTGGAATATTTAATCAGGGATGCTTCGTAGTTTGAGAAACATTGTCACACATTCTATTTTCAGCGCGAACAAGAAGAGGCTGGACAAGCACAAACTTTGAGTAAGAGAAAACTTCGTCTGTCGATGCAGCCGACTATTGCCGAATTGAAAGAGGTATTCAGAGTAACGTATTTATTTATTTCTGGAAATCGTAGGTCATTTATCTGATGCAGTTGAGTTTCTGTATTTTTGACCTTCCCAGCCTTATATCTTTTATTATGAATATACAAAAAATAAGAACGTAAAAAAAACCTTAACATGTAATAAAAACCCATTTCTGACAGGATTATAGTGAGTGTATTAGATATTGCTACCAAATAATGTCTCAGGTGACAAGTCGGCCAGATGTGGTGGAATGGGCGGATGTCACTTCACGTGATCCTCATCTTTTGGTTACGTTGAAAGCATACAGGAATACCGTGCCTGTACCACGACATTGGAATGCTAAGAGAAAATATTTAGCAGGCAAACGCGGTTTTGAAAGACCTCCATTTGACTTGCCCGATTTTATCAAGAGGACAGGCATAATGGAAATGCGTGAAACAATGTGGGAAAAAGTAAGATTTTGTTTCAAATTTCAGTATCAAATCGATGCCACACATCGTACGGTGCAAAAATTTTTGGTGATAATTCCTCTAACCTATTCTCTTAACATTTATTAATTTAGGAAGATGCCCAATCGTTAAAGTCGAAGATGCGTGAACGCGCAAGACCGAAGCTTGGCCGTATTGATATCGATTATCAAAAGCTGCATGATGCTTTTTTCAAATGGCAAACCAAACCCGTAATGACCCAAATGGGTGAACTGTACTATGAAGGTAAAGAACTGGAAACAGTTATGCGTGAGAAGAAGCCAGGTGAATTGACCGATGAACTACGAGTTGCTCTAGGAATGCCAGTCGGACCTGTAAGTGCAATTTCATACTCATGAAAGCAAGAATCGGGCATTATATATAAGTGATTAGTGATATTTCTTGTCGTTTCAGAATGCGCACAAATTTCCGCCGCCCTGGTTGATTGCAATGCAGCGATATGGACCACCGCCATCATATCCGAACTTAAAAATACCAGGATTGAATTGCCCTATCCCAGAAGGATGTGCATTCGGTTATCATGCTGGTGGATGGGGTAAGCCTCCAGTCGATGAAATGGGCAAGCCGTTGTATGGTGATGTGTTCGGCCTTGAGGTTGCAAATTAATACTAATTTTAAATTGGATTTTGAGAGATTTCTGTCTTTCGAAAGATATTTGACAAAGTTTGAGCTTAGCATCACGACAATGTTATGGTCATAATGCTTTTACCACAGACGTTTACTACGTTTACCACGACGATATTACATGACTACAAATCTCCTTTCTCTATGAAAAAAGTTGATGATTTCGTTGGTTAATCCATTGTTTTTAGTTTATTTCGTTGTCTACTTCTGACAATTCGAATTTTTTAAACTTTAGGGGAGATTTGGCTGGTTCAGGCTTCCATAAATATTTCTGTGGGAGTAGTTTCATTTAGCTGTACTCCACTCTTGTCTATTTTATAGAGATGGAATTTTATTATGTTTGTAATGGAAAAGATGTAATGGAAAAAGAAGGTCATTAGAATGACCTTTTTTATCTAGTAATTTGCCTTTGTTCATTGTTTAATGAAGTCTGCTACAAACGTATTGCAACTGGCTCTTTTTTAAAAGTTACAGTACTTTTTCAGGCACCATCATTGCCAGAACTGGATGACGAATCACGAATAGAACGGCGACATTGGGGTGAGATAGGTAGCGATGAGGATTCTAGTGAGGAAAGTGAAGAAGAGGAGGAGGGCGAAGGTGGTGCGGTTGAAGCAGGTTTTGTTACTCCGGCTACCACTGAAGGGTTAGTCCTACTTGTACGTTAGGAGGCTAAAGATAGATTTTATTAACAAACAGTCTACGAAATGCAAGGTTTTTCGATACTACATTCTTTAAAAAAATCTTACTATCGATTCAATTTCAGTTTTGCAACGCCGTCAGGAATGACCTCTGGCGTTCTCACTGGTGTTGAAACTCCAGATACCATTGAACTGCGAAAAGGCAAACGGATAGAAGACAGGTTTTTTTAGTTTTAAATATTTTTATCTTTTTTAGTTTAGCAAGTATTCGATTTCAGATAAAACGCAATTATACAGTAGTTCCACAGAAAATAAGTGTTTGGAACATGATTCTATGTTGCGTCATTGTTACGGGAAGTAATTTCTGAGATTAATTAAATCCTTTTATTAAATTGAAAATCTGTGTATTTGTGACTTAAATCAAAATTTTAGCAGCACAACAGGTGGTGAGACTCCTGCACCAGCACTCTATACAGTACTTCAAGAACGTAAGATTGATCGTATTGCGGGACAAATGATGGCTAGTACTCATGTTTATGATTTGTCGGTGAGTGTTTTATTCATGAACATTTTGTTTTTGTTTATTCAGAGAAAGCAATGCCTTAAACTATGTCAGGCATATTATGGATATAATTTCTAATATTTCATGTTTTTTAGAAAAAACCACCTCCAGCTCCTGCATCACAAGGAGTAGATGCCGGAGTAGAAGTGTCGTTGAACCCAGAAGACCTTGATCTAGCTGATCAAAAAGGTCTGGAAAAGAAATATGAAGAACAGTTGCGCAAGCAAACTCGTGGACGGCAGGATGATGACGAAGATTTCTCAGATATGGTGGCTGAACATTCCGCTAAACAGAACGTTAGCTTTACAGTTTTTCTAGCTTTCCCCTTTCCTTGCTTTTCTTTCCTCTTCTACTTTAATGTTGTATTGCAGCGTAAGAGAAAGGTACAGGAACAAAAGAAATCAACGCAGCAGCAGAAAAAATATAAAGATTTCAAATTTTGAAATAACATTTTTTTTTACTTTTGTGTCTCTTGATTTATTAGTGACATCATTATATCATTTTATAATCCGAATGCTTCAGATTAAGGCTCGAATGTCAGAGTTTCCACAAATTTTAAATTGTTGTCTGCAAATTTGCAGAGTGTAGATTTCTTGTTTCTGAGAATCAGTATAAAGTCAGAGCTTTCCCAATATGAGGAATAGCCAGTCTTTTTTATACTGAAAAAAATTATTATTCTGATAATACAGTGAGTCAATCGGTATAAGAAATTTTCATTTCCCAGACGCATCCTCTCAAACATTTTGACTTATTCGTAGATTGTTTTTCCTTTTTCATCGTGAAATTGTATATTTTCTTTTCTATATAGGTGGCTAATTGGAAGCAAAAAGCAGTAAACTGTAACATTCACTTCAGTAATACACAAAGTATGCAGCAGTCGCTGAGCAATAATAACAGTCAATGGATTTAATTCTTTCATGTCGGAATTTATACCGAATTTAACCGAAAAGATTGCGCGATACGAGTTAAAATTGCTTTTTATTTAAGCGGGTATTAAACGAATCTCGCATTAAACGATAAGATGGTAATGACCATATGAAGCGAATGGGGAGGATTTTTTTTTTTGAGAGTTTGCATTATTTTTTTCAGTTTTCTAAACATAACTGAATTCTTCTCCCAACAATGGAGCCATAAGATTAAGTTGGATGAAGATGAATTTGAAGGGATCCCTTTGTGAGCATACCTATCAAATAATCCAGAGAAAATGCTGAAATGTATGAAGATTTAGAAAAAGATGAGCACTGGAATCTTTCCCACAACTGCACAGTTTCAAAGGAGTTGATAATTGCGTCTTCATATAATTTTTTCTTCCCAAATTACATGCAAGAAAAAGCGCTTTTACTTAGTGAATTTCTCTTGGATATTGTTGACCGATGCACGAAAGAAAAATCTACGAAGAATCTAAACACATCAGTTTCTCAAGCTAAGAAAAGACTAAATCGATCAGACACAGAAACAAAGATAAACAGCAAAGAACGAACACGACTGGATTACTTGCCATCAGTCTATTTAGTCCGGATCATTGCAGTGGTATTTGAGACATTTGTTGTTTAAGGTGTAAACCTAACAATTAGCGATGGTTTCCCTTATTCATATATCCTGTATTTTCTCCATTCAATTTTGAAATAGATTTTTATTGCAATATGTTTATTATTTAATGATAACATCAAAATATTTGCATAAATTCTGCATAATAAATATGATTTGTGCTTAAATCTCCCACAATGTCATTTCTCAATAGTCACAAAAGTAACAACAGTTTCAAACTCTTAATATAATACAAATCACGTAAACACAGTACAAAACATTACTTCTTTTTAAAGAAGCTATAAACAAACGAGCATTGCTGGGAATTTTATGGCATAAAAATGTACTGAGGGAAAGATATGGAGGTATGTTGTTACTTTATCACTGTCATTATTCTAATTGTGCTAAATACGATTAAATCCTATCCGTACTATTTCAGTCTGACATATTTGCGGAAAAGAATTTAAATTATTAAATTACAGCTTCCAACCTTCTTCATCTAACTATTGAAGGTCGGCTGTTATGAAACCACATACTTAATGCAAACATTCCTCATGCCGGAAAATTAATGAACTGCTATGGATACAAGTGCATGAACAAAAATATGGAGCAGTGAGAGATCAATGGAAAGCCATCTTCCTGGAAAGCCATGGTTTCACCGCTGGATGATCAGACATACTTTTCAAATATTCTACATATTTTTCCCGGATAAATCTAAATGCCTCAGGCGTTGCAAATGGCAAGCCGGTTAACGGATCGCGATATTTTGCAGGGCGTGATGTTACGCAACAAAGGAGTTTCACCTGAAATGATGCCTTATAAATACTGGTAAAACGATACTGATATGAAATAAAAGCAGACACAATATGTATTGACAAAACTTCAAATCTATTGACGACAAGATATACTACTGTCATACAATTAGAATAAACTTTCTAGTTATGGAAGAATTTATACGATCGATAAGGATAATGATAGATCATTCCAGTTCAATGACCTATGATCATTTAATACCGGCCGGGAAAATGATGGTACATAAAAGAAAACATAGATTCGCATTCTGAAATTCTCGAAAGGAGTAACAAGACGGAGGTGGTTATCCTCATATTTTACTGAATATGTAGGCCGACTGCTTTAAAATAATGAGAAGTGGAGAAATGAAAATTTCAACAAGTGTAAAAATTCACCGCTCTTTCTGGTTTCGTAAAATTCTTGACATCTGGAAGAACTATCCATTTGCCATCCGGACCGTCCACAATGCTAACGTAAGGTGGTTTCAATTTTCTATTAACATTAATCTTTTCACGTTTCTTCTTTTTTTCCAGCTCAAATTGCTCATATTTTTTTAACGATGCAACATTTTTTCGTTCTGTTTCCTTGGCTTCTTCCAAATATTGTGCCTAGAACAGATTAAAATTAAGCTACAGTGTACATGTCGACTTTTGACCGGTTGACGGCTGTTCTGTCCACCAGTCAAAATCAATAAAAAAACTACTACTACTTTTAAATATAGATCTTAATGACAGAAGAATAAATATGATGACGAAGCATACCTGAGTTTCAGGACTGACAGTGTTAGCGGCGGCAGTAAGGCAACCCATCCGTGCCATCACCCATTTCTTGTTTTTTTCTAGCAAAGCTCTCTTCGAAGGAGTATAACCTGGTCTCGGTTCCTAAGAAGAAAATTGAAGAAACCACAATAATTTATTAATTAAAGACATCTCCTTTAATAAGATATACTCAAAAACAACTCACAACAGGAAGCCAAATGTAAGTCAAATATGTTTTACTGTTTTGCTGTATATTGTGAAGGATGTTAATATTTATGAAAAAACTATTTTACTTTATAACCAGCTTTTCGTTTCCGTCGTTTGGGCTCTTCTTCTGTATCGCTCATTGGTTCATCTTCATCCTCAGGACGATCGAAGTCAGAATCCACTTCATCATGATCCGATTCCACTGGTGATTCGAACGCATCATCGACATCATCCTGAAGAAGACTTAAGAATGATTTGGTTAGTGCTCAGAAAAAGTAACTTTAACAGCAAAACAAATTTAGAATAAAAACTTCGTAGTTAGCAAACAGTAATTAGTCTTACAATTGTTTTGGAAAACTAAATATCCTAATAAGTTTATTTTAAGTTACAAATTAGAGAATCTGAATCCCTAACAAGTGAATTAGTCAGTTTTCCTTTCGATAAATTCATAAAAATTATGTCCTTTAGGATTTTCATTTTGAGGTATAAACAACCTTGCATGCCGCTTTTCTACATTCATTTTACTATTACTTGACAAGAAAGAAAAGCTACCTCGAGAAATCCGCCATCATATGTATTCTTGTAAAATTCATCTTCTTGCTCGGCCGATTCCAACAACTGCGCCATCTTATTACCAGCGTTAGAACGTTTTTCACGCGTAATAACCATAAGCTCAACATTCTCTTCCCGACTGCTGCTATTTTCACTTCTACATAACACTTTTTTTCAACTTTTTTCACTGAGAAAAGATAAAACACTTCGAACTATCAAACCAATTCTCAAAAGGTACCTGCCAGTACCTTCTATACCTCACGCCAGGTAATGCATCCAGCATAATATGAAAAGGAAAATTTTACGAATGTATTAAGTGTTCATATCCCCCAAAAAATTCTTAATTTCTTGCCTCGCTCTTTGCGATCAATCCTGAAATGCAGAGCTTTCTAAAAAATACAAGAGTACTTACTCATCATCGTCGTCATTATCATCAGCATCATCATCAACTTCCATACATTCCACTTCTTCCTTTAATTCTTCCTCATCTTCGAGCTCCTTTTTCATTATCACTTCTTTATATTTCTCTTTCTCTCTCTTTACTAGAAAAAAAAAAAACATAATTAAGAAAATCGATAAAAAACAACGGCAATCAACTGCACTATATTATTAGCAAACCATTCTAAACTATTTAAAAGTTATAACATATTTAAAATGCTAACTATTCTTCTCAAATATCAAAGTAATCAAACTTTGCCACATAAAAAAGGCTTTAGCAAATTTTTTGTTAGTAAATCCCTATTCCATTAACTCCTCTAATCTAACAACCTGTAACTTTATCATTTTTCCAAATTCAATCGTCACTCCGTCTTCAGTAATTGCTATATTGGCTTTGTTATAATCAGACCAATTACACAGCCTATTAAATGTCTAAATAAATTCAACCAAACACGAAATCATTATGCAAAATTCTTGAATGCTCTCCAACTCTCTCGCTCTCCCTCCATGCCTGACTCTCTCTCCATACAGTCTTCATTTATTTCAAATTGCACTATCTGATTCTATCACCATCTCCGTTTCTTTGTGCTTCTTAAAAACATTTCATATTTTCTAATTTTGTGATTCTGTAATGTCTCTTAAAAAAGTACATTGTTTTATTCCATTACACGCTTTTACAACATTATTTTTAAGTCTCGCTTATCTCTGAAATGTTTGAAAATCGTGATCTCTTTCAATCCTTTGCATCTTTTCTACAGTTGCTCCGTTGTCTCATACTGCTTCTCTAATTCTACATGGAATTGTTCTATCTCGCTGCTTCATGTCGCGATTCACTGATTGCTGTATTTGCTAAAGGCATACCTGGAGGGGGTTGACCTTTCTTGTTGGTTCGAGTTCATTGTTGCTTTGCTGTTATACAGTGACCTCGCAATTATATCCTACAGTACGCTGCTTACTTTCACGTTGAACTTCTCCCTACCGTAAATTAGTTTGAATTAATTCTTACCTCGAAATTTCTCTAAGATCGTATCAAAAAGATGTAATCTCGACTATTGTACGGAAAACAAGCCGTTAAGTTTTAGGATTATTCTTGTTTACAGCGGAGATGAAATATTGAAAATGTACACATATATTTACTAAATGATTTTTTATCCACCAAACTATTATCTTTTATCTACGAACCGCAATAATTTCAGTCTTCTAATCAAAAAAGTATTTAGGAATTACCATCAATATTTATTTTTAAAGGTGGGCGACTACTCAGGAAGTATAGTTATTAGCTTCATGAATGAAAAAGTTTGGATATATTACATTGTTCTCTTTTGTGCACATATTGATAGATATGTAGAAATGCTTATAAATTACTGCTAAGAAAAGTACGAACTTTTGGAATGAAGTTCGAATTATATTTCTGTTGCAAGCTATATGCTTACAACACATTTCATTCCAGATTTGTTATATTTGATTAGAATCGATGGTACGTTTCCGCTTTTCTGCACTCGCGAATCGTCTGCTTCCAGTGTCTGAGTCTGCAGTACCGGTAGTAATTCATTGGATTTATTAGGTTGCTTCATCGGTAATAATGTTAGATAAAAGTTAAAAAAAATGAAGCGAGGGAGATGGAATTCTGGTATGTATGTATTTCGTCCTAGCATGTAATGTTAGTATCATATGAAATATTTATTTTGCAGACTGGATTATCACAAGCAGTCAGTGCTCCGAGTAAAATACTTCATGAATGTGATGTAGCCAATGTAAAGTGGAGTGTTGGTCTCGGAGGGCAAGAAAGTCAACAAGTTGGTTCAGTGCATACAAGCACAAAAGCTTCTGCTGTTCCAGATGTAACGGTGGGTGGAGGAACTACTGGTGGTGGAGTTGTTGGAAAGAAACCACCTCCTGTTCTTGAATGGAATCCACTTGTTCATACCGAATGGCAGCTTGGCGTTAGTTTAATTTAATATTGCTTTAAAAATGGAATTGTGCTTGCCAGTATGGTACATTGAATGCATATGTGCTATTTAACCGATCTTTGATGAAATTTTTTTTCAAACAAAATTTAAGTTATCATTATTTTGCGATGATTCAGAATTATAATTTACAACCTTTTATTATTTCCTTGCACGTTCATAAAGTTTTAAACAGTGGGCTTTTTCAGGTTGGAGGACGTTTGTTGCCAAAATTACCAGAAGGAACGAAAGTGGGAAAGCTTGTGATGGGTAAATATGGTCTTTATAAACCGGGATTGCATGAAATAACTCAGCAATTCTTTGTAAGATAATATTTCTTTATTTTTTTGTGCACTGACTGAGTAGTGAGAGTTCAGAACGTGTGAGTTGACGCACAGATAAGTAAAAAGAGATTTTATTTTCCATCGCAGAAAGACTGCAACTATTATTCGTCCTAGCTGAGAAATACGTTACCAATGTCGTTTTGATTTTAATTTCTAATTGTAATTGTCTATCTCATACTTCTTTCTATTTTTTTATGCTTCTCTTTCCTTTAGAAAGCAAGTTGCATACATTAGCTTGAATAAATAGCTTTTTATGAAATTATAATCTCAGTTTTAAGTTAGTTTAAATACATCAAAGGAAGCTTTTTGACAATTCTGTGAACTGGCTTTTTTCTGCAATTCCAAGTGATCTAGAGTTGCTACTTGTTCTGATGTGTGCTGTGAATCTGTTCGATATCGAGCATCTCTATAATTCTCTGCTCATAGAATGGGTTTAATGATAAAAGCATTTCATGAAGTTTTTTTTAGCTGTCCTTTCTCCGTTTGCATTTCCTCTTTGTTTAGATCAGAATGCACAAATCAAGTCTTTTTCAGATTAACACTGAGTTGAAAGGTATGGCACCCGAAAACGCGTTACCTTTGTCTGCTCTTCTTACCAAGATTGGTAAAATCCTGATGCTCGTACCAATATTATCAGTCCTTCTCAATCTTCCGACAATAATTGCACAGAAGCCAGTGGGTATTCATTCCGGGTACATACCGCCAGGCCGAACCTAATATTAATTTTTTTGCTATGACTCTATGTATTATATTAGCAAGCTGCTGAAATTATATTTACGTCGTTTTGTGAACAGAAATTGACGTGGTTTTTGTGTTCTAAAGAAATGTTAGGTTTGGATCTTTTATTTAAATTGTAAGAGTCCTTATTTATTTAGTACGGAAAAGGAAAATCGTAAAATTTTTTTTTAATATTGAACTTCGCTGGTTTTTAAAGGATCAAATGGAGTGGATCTTTATTAATTTTTAATCATTCATGTAGAATGATGATTACAATTCATGTTCATTAGGATTCTATATACATCCCATGTGTAAAAGTTTAAATGATACAATTGTTTTTAGATTTCCTTAATAGTCGATGACTGAGTGATATTAATAGTACTTTTTCTGATTAGTCATACTGTGTTATGTAAATTTGATAATATGAAGTAAAAAATTTCTACTGCAATTATCAGGAGCAATATATTTTACATGCTAGCATGCAAGCAACCTTTGGGTGATTTTGTGCTGCGATATATCGTTGTCCTAGTGAAAGTCTTTGAACCTGAACTAAATGCTGAATTGCTACCGTGCAAGAGATAAAGATTTCGTGAAATTCGTGAAATCGAAGTTATTGCGGTGGTTTGATAAATCGTGAGCAATTGGATATTTCCGGTGCATTCTGCTTTGCATAAACGGAGAAAATAGACAAGAATCATTTGTTGACAAAAGGATGTACGGAGAATCTAATGCACGCATATTAATACATTATTTATGTATATTTTTACCAATATTTAATTCAGTGAATAATTAGCTACTCCAGTACACCGTGCTTAAGTCTGTCGTTATATCGATTAATCGGTAACACGGTTACAGGATATATCAGTTGAAATATTTTAATGGCAAGAGATCTTTCTGATTAAATTCGCATGAAACGTCGGAACAGTTTGTTCCTTTCATCAGGAAGTGGTTTCAGTAACACTGAAGGCATTGAAATTGCTACTGAGATGGCGCCAGGTGAATCGCTTCGGTTATCACCGGAGCTTATTACCGAACATATTATCATGTCCGAATAGTAAGTTTTTTATTATTTTTCTTATATTTTGTGCATTGTTCATAATACGCATTACAGTGCTATGATTTGTCGAGATCCAATAGATGGTTTATATGCGGTACCGAGCGCTCGAAATAAGTTCGGTAATTCAATACTGTTTTTTTCTTCATGTATCACACATTTCGTCTAACGTTTTGTATATTTCTAGCAAAGCATACGTTTATAAATAGAGCATTTAATGTTTCATTTTATAACCTTATAAAGGCAAAATCAACCCTTGGTCAGCGAATGTTTCATGTGAATATGTTGGACGAAATAAAAAAAACCTCTTTTGTATATAAATTGGCCTCACAAGTTGTAATACCGACAATACATTCCTTCCTTACATTGTTTGCTTGGATTTTAAATTTGTTTTGTGTTGGGAAAACTCATTTCATCATAGCTATTTATCTTTGTATTTATAGAGGCAAATACATAAATAGCGAGACTTCAGTTCAATAATTCAATTATTTTGTTTTAGAATGGTTTGGTTTATTGTTTATTCGACGGGGTGTCTATGCTGGTGCCATCTTTCGCTTCACTTTGCATCTTCCTGTGGATTTCCCATCTACGGAATTACCAGTAACACGTTTCAAATTTCGTTCTTCGTTATAACGTGGAAAGCCTAAGACATTTTTTACTTCAAACTGTATTATTCTTCTCGAATCAAAAGTTAACATCATTGATATATTATAGATGAATTTGCCATTGAAATATTTATTAGTTCAAAATTTCATATTTATATGAAATGAAAACATCGAAATTTTGAAAGGTATAATTTCAATATCCTACTAAGAATTTATCTTGTTTTTTCATTTTCTTATATGTTTTGCAGACAATAGTTTTCGATTCGGATGTATTCCATCCACATGTTAATCCAGTTACTCGAGAACTGGATTTGAAAAAATATTTTGTTGATGGTTGGAAATCTGATCAGCATCATCTCTACCACATTTTGCTTATTGTACAGGCATGTATTGTATCTGTTTATTTTGATTTCCATTCCTGAAGAAGATTTCAAGTGAGAAGTTAGCATAGAAATCTCATTTGCAAAATCATGGTAGAAGGCAATCATTAATTGCTATGAGGATGCAAAAAAAAGAAACAAACATAAATTGTTCGTTTTCAGAGAACATTTTTTACATTCGATTCAAATCCAGCGACATGTGCTAACACCGAAGCAGCAGCATTACTTCGCGATAATAGGGAATTATACAGAGTGCGGGCCAGCGAACTTATTAAGTAAGCAAAAATTTTTTTAATTTTTTTGAAGACTACAAGTAATGGAATTTTGTTTTCTTTTGCGGATATAAAGTATGATAATGCCAAGATCTCTCCATGCTTATGGGGCAATGTGGAGCTTTTTTTCACTTCTATATTGTGAACAAAATTATATGTGAATAAAATTTTATAGGAAAAGTCGGTCTATTATATACGAACCCGTTGATACGGACGATGCAAACGCCATTAGGTGGGTGTTAAAATTATTTCTTTAATCATCTTGAGATACATTTATTACTTAAATTTCGAAATTTTCATTATAATCAATTTATCCAATGGACAGAGCTAGTCACAGTACTGTTACATCTTTTTTGGTAATTTATTCCACTGATTAGTCAGATTTACTTTCTTAACCAACTGAAAGGTCATTACTCTGGATCTAGTGTGCTTTACTAGATCTAGATCGATAGCTTCTTTGATTAGATAAAAAGATAGTTGAAAATGAAATAACTTTCAGACTTATGCCATGGGATGCATCCGTTCACGAACCATTGCGACAAAGGCTTATAGGTGGACTGACTGACAGTCAAATAAGCACGATGTCATTATTAGGTTCGCTTGGTTGCGGCCTTAATAAGCCGTCAATATTTGAATCCCGGGCTAAACATGGGTTTTCGTGGATTTCTCCAGCCGATTTATGTTATATGGTGGAACCACCGAGACCAGCTGAGCTTGATCTGAAAGTATACTTATATTTTCGTTTTCCATTTCTTTCTGTTAATGACTAATGGTTCGTGAAGTGATTTACAGATAATATCAGAAGCGGAAAACAGTCCAACGAATGCAGAACAATTCTACGCTTCTTGTTCGGGTTGTTCGTTTTTTTAATGCTCCTTTCAAATTAAGTAAATCATGTTCATAGGCAGTTTTTGTGACGTCTTTCCTACCTTATATTTCTCATTTACTACTAACTAAAAAATGGAAATTATGCAGGTGGATTAAACGACAACAATTTAACAAATGGAATCATTATTCCCCCTATTTCCGAACTGAATTTGAATGGTGAGAGTGATTTCAAGCAGGAAAGTGGAGAAGAATCACAACAAGAATTGGAAAAAGATAGCTCAAATTTACTTAAAGTGAGATTTTTTTATGTGATAAAAATAATGGGAAGGAAAGACGTGATTGCGCATTTTTTCGAATGTCATTTCCGAATGTTCGTATGAACCGTAATCTTTTGATTAAGTATAGTAATCTTTTCTATGCTTTCTTTATTCCTAATTTTAACCACAGGATGTTCTACAAAATGAGGATGGTGTTAAAGGTCCTGTTGCCAAGCGTAGCGAGAACAATGGTTTAGTGGAGAAAACGTGTGAGGAACGGGAAGTTAAGGAACAGGAAAGAGATGTGACACCATTTTCTGGATTGGAAAAATGTGATCATAGAAAAAATGAATATATGAAGGCTCAGCAAGGTGATGATGTATCAGATAGAAATGCTGTCGAATCACGATCAAATTGGATCAGTGATGAAGTTGGGGGAAGTGATATATAATAAGGAAATAATCATTCATTTATTGATCATTTTTCACTATTAATTCATTTCTTTAATAAAATTTTTCAAAATTTTTTGCTTGCTATGGAAAAGTTCTTGCTAAGAAAGAAAAAATCTTGCCATCCAGTTCGACATGGCGAATTATTGGGAGATTGCATAAAATTATAGACAGGGAAACTTTAATGCTTGAAGTTACACTGCTGAGGAATTGTAGATAACAAAGAAACTTTCTAATTATGAATGCTCACTGAAATTTAGCACAACGGAGAATGCTCAACAACCGTACTTAAGAGCACATAGGCTTCTTTATGATAAGAATTTTCCCATCAATAAACTTATTTACTATGCTATTGATGAGAAAATAATATACTATTACATTGATTGTTTGAACCGAAAATTTATTTTTTATTTAAGAAAATCTGGCAAAAATTCTAAGTTCTTAAGGGAGGGAAAGATTTTCTTTGGTGTTACTTTTCTAGAAGTAAGATGAGATACAGATATGCTTCCGATCTCTTACTCTATCTACAATGAACGCGCAAATGAAATTTGCGAAATAGAATGGAGAAGTATTATTGTGAATTATTGATGGCTGTCAAATATGACTAAATATGATTTACCACCACTAATAATAATAATGATAATGATAACAATATTGCAACAACAACTACTACTACTACTATTATCACTGCAATTATTGTTGTTGTTGTTGTTGTTGTTGCTACTGCTGCCGCTGCTGCTGGTGCTACTACTACTACTACTACTACTACTACTACTACTACT